TAATACAAGCCTTCATCCATAAATCTATATTGTATAAAACATAAGATCCATCTTCTGATATGTATTTCAGGAGGCTACTAAATAGAGGCTGGATGGCCATCTGTCACAAGTACTTTGATTGTGCTGTTCCTGCATTGCAAGGGGTTTGATTAGGTGACCCATCTGGTCTCTTCCAATTCTGTGGTTCCATTTCATGATAAGGACTGGTTATCAGGTGAGCAGATGTGCAATTATCGCTATCTGATGTGTTGTAATCATCTAGGCTCCTTATGGAAATGTAAGAAGACTCAGTTTATAATCACTATGCAGTCAGCTAATTTCCTGTTTATTAAAAAAAAGTATTGATGTTACATATAATTTGCTCTTAAGCATGACAACAGAAACCAAAGGATGAATGGAACCTACAATGAGGCCACAGAAGGTGTTTTCTGTACTACTCTCCACATCCATTTCACCGTTCCAACCTTTCCAAACATGGTTCTGGATCAGCTCTGGATACAACTAAATAGCCTCTTCTGGCCTGATCCGCATCTCTTCCTGGTTTACAACTTGACATAAGTGATGGAAGGCTGCTCTGGTGTTGATGGGGACACAGTAGGCTGCTTCTACTGTACTCTCACTAGTGAATTCCAGTGTGACAGTCAGAAGTAGGATCCCTATCTCACTTCATACTCAAGATTTCTTCTAGGAGACTGGTGGTACTGGAATTTTCAGTCGTCTGGGTCCCAATTGACAGAAGAACAAGGATATCACTTGCAATGACTGACACCTAGTAGGCTTCTGCATTTTGTCTGAACCTCGATCCATTTATGCTGACCGGATGCAATAAACCCCTCGTATCCATTTTTGCATGCCTCCCACAAATGGACAGGTAACTGTGTTTGTACCTCAGCAGGAAAATACGGCCAGATCCGGCCCCACTGGTTTACCTCTCCAAACCTATCTCCTCCTATAAACCATCAAGGACTTTACGATCTTCCAAAGAGGCCCTACTCTCGGTCCCACCACCTTCGCAGTTGCGTTTGGTGGGGACAAGAGACAGGGCCTTCTCTGTGGTGGCCCCCTGGCCATGGAACTCTCCCTGGCGAGATTAGGTCTGCCCCCACCCTCCTGTCCTTCAGGAAGCAGCTAAAATCCTGGCTTTGGAATCAGGCATTCGCAGATAGATGGATGATCCTGTATAGACTAAGAGTTAATGGACAACATTTGGATTGAGTTGGATGATGTTTTAATTTGACAAATTGTTTTATATGTATTTTAGAATTTATTTATTTCATATGTTGTTTTTATGATGTTCTTTATTGTACATTGAATTTTGGTGTTAGCCGTTCTGAGTCCCTTCACGGAGGTAGAGAAGAACAGGATACAAAAGTTATAAATAAATAAATAAATAAATAAATAAATAAATTGGTGGCAATGGGGAGGGGTCTCCCTGGGCTCCCCTTCCCAGTCATTTTAGGCAATGCCATCATTTGTCCTTATATCCTCCATTAAGACCTGTATTTAAAAGCATCAGAGTTAAGATACCACTCTTTCTGCAACCCTTTCCCTTTGGTCCATAGAGGACATCTGGGTTTCATGCTTTGTTAAAGCTGTTCCTACTCTAGAGGAGACAACCACTATAGCCACTGCAGGCGCGCAGGCTCTCTCCCTGTACGTAGCTTTCCAAGGCATTTTAAGGGGATTTCCCACTACCCAGGGAAGGAAGAGCGATGACCTGGAGCTATCCTACCCTGGGCTTCCTTAAAAATGTCCTCGCTTTTCTCTTGATTTTCCCCCTCATGCCTTTCTCCTTTGGGTTTAATGCTTAAAGCTGTTCCTACTTTCTACTCTAGAGGAGAGGTAACTAAGAGTTCGTAGTTTTTAGAGAATGAGGGTTTTCTTTTTGTTTGCTGGGATTAATGATAATTATGATTATCTTTTAGAAGTATTTGAAGGAGAGGATGGGAAGGAGAAAAAAAAAGCTTAAAGGGTGACTCTCCCAAGGCCCCGAATGTGCACACAAACCCTACCCAGCTGTCTCGCACGTCCCCAACTCCCAGTCAGTCCCACTAAATAAAAAGAATCAAGAAATCCAAAGCAGAACAGAACAATGGAGCAGAATGGAAGGAGACAACATTGTTCTGTTGTTGAGGGTATTTGCTTCTCAGAAGTAAAATAGATAGGACATATTCATTTTGTAGATATGTAAACAACTCTGCTGTATTGTGTACTCGTAGGTTATTTCAGATCCTAAGGTGAACTCATTACAGGGATTTCTTGGCCGGATTAATTCGGAGGAGGTTTGTGTGTGCCTTCCTCTGAGGCTGAGAGAATATGACTTGTCCAGAATTATCCAGTGGGTTTTCATGTCCATGTGAGGATTTGAACCCTGAGGTCCTAGCACAACACTCCAACCACTATATCACACTGTCCTTTTCTGTTGTATTTATGTACAATTGTTCAGATTAGTAGCTGTAGTAAGCCACTAGGAGTCACTACAGTGCAAATCTGTAGTTCAGTAGCTGGACGGAAAGGACAAGGTAAAGGGATCAGAACTTCGGAAGTTACGCCTGAAACAGGCCAGAGGTGCACTTTGAAGAAAGGGTGTGTGGGAAACTAGGGGGACATAGTATGCCCTCTTTTATCTAAGCTGGAATACTGCCATATTCCATTCCTTATTGATAAATTGGCAAATTGCTATCTTTTCTCATTTAAAAACTCCAAACTGCAAAAGCCTCCAAACCAGAGAGCAGTTTGAACCCCACCAACAATGGTTCTAGACCAGACTTGGTGCACAGACCCAACATGATCAACTTTTAATACTGGAAGCATTTGGAAGAGGAGGATTGATCTAGGATGATGGGAGTCACCCTCATTCTTATACAGTTTCTAATGAGAATATTCATAAAACCCCAAAACAAACAATGACTTTGTATAATATCATCACAAAAGACCAAACCCGGGCATTGGCAGTAGCCTAAGCTAGTAATCTGCTAAAACTGGAGGCCTTAAGGACTTTCTTGAAGGAATTTTTAAAATGTTAAAATTATTTACTTCTGCTTGAAAGAACAATATCCTCAATGTGGCGTGATTACGGTAAGGTGTATTATATGTTGATATTTTAGAAAACATAAATCAACCAGACCTTTTACATTTACACAGTTGAAGCACTGTGATTCCACTTGTGTCTGCCATGGTTGCATTCTGCGGGATCATGGTGCTCGTAATTTGGTGAGACACTACATTTTTTATGCAGAGAATTCTAAATACTGATTTTGAAATTGTAAATCCAAGGACTTTTACCCTGGTCATTTCTTGGCAATGGAAGATAAGGAGCTGGAAGGGAAAGATCGTTCCCCTGGGAAAACACCTGAAGTGAGGTGGAGGATGTGACTCTGGGCCCTTCCACACAGCTCTATATACCAGAATATCATGGCAGAAAATTCCACATTATCTGAGTATGGGCTCAGATAACCCAGTTCAAAGCACATATTGTGGGATTTTCTGCCTTGATATTCTGGGATATAGGGCTGTGTGGAAGGGCCCCCAATCTATGGGAGGAATGAGCCAGATTACGGAGGTCACAGAGAATCCGTGAGAATTCCTTGAAACAGACCAGATGTCAAATGCATGGCTTGTGGACCTTAAATTAAAGTGTTGTTTACTAAAAAGGTTAGAACAGGCAACACTGTGTTAAGGTGTACACCTTGAATCTTGTTCTTGTTCCACATTCAAGTCTAAGACCTTTGGGAAAGTCTTGTACTCATGTTCATGGATTCACGTTTTGGAAGAAGTTCCTGTGTTCCTGGTTATGAATTTATGCCTATGTTTTGATTCCTGTTTTGTTTTTTGTTTTTCATGTATCTTGTCACTTTTGAACAGAACTTTGATATATAGACTATTGCCTTTTGAAAGCCTTTTTCCTTTTTGGACATTACATTTTACATTGCCTTTTGCCTTTTTATATTTGCATTCTTCAATAAACTGTTTAGTTAGTATGACTGGACTCTTGTGTGGTGCTGGGTGCAGTGGTAAATTCAGACCAGAGTGCAACAACACCTTGTATTTTGGAATTTGATGGCAGCAGATATCAGTAACACGTGGAAAAGTTAATTGTGTTATTTTCAAGAAAAAATGAGAAGTCTCTTATACCACCAAGCTATTAGACACCTTGTCATCTATACGAGTACAACCATTAAAGGTTGTGTAGAACCTCTGCCCACTTTCTCATTACTTTAGTCAAATAATATATTTAGTTGGTCCATGGTCCATTGTTAATGACATTCGTTTTAGTGTTGCATTGTTTATTACTCTACTTTTGTTTACACCATCTTGAATCTGTATTGAAAGGCGGGATATAAATATTTTAAACAACATAAATAATATAAATAAATAAATAGCAACAAAATTTACAAGAAGGAAAAAAATCATAGTGTCTATACAAAGAAGAGAATAGCAAAGAAGGATGTCTTTAGTTTCTCCATATAGGTGTCACTTGTCCAGAACTTTGAAATCCATAATACACCAAAGTCCAAAACTATCGATGGCTCTATGTACACAAACTTTGTTTCATGCACAATTTTTTTTAAAAAAAATATTGCATACCATTACTTTCAGGCTACATGCATAATGAATATATGAAACATAAATTTGTGTTTAGATTTGAGTCCAGTCTCCAACATATCCCATTATTTGCATATGAAAATACAGGTATTACAAGTATGTTATCTTCAGGAAACTCTAGATCCCACAGCATGACTCTATGGCAGGCATGGGCCAACTTGGGCCCTGCAGGTATTTTGGACTTCAACTCCCACAATTCCTAACAGCCTACCAGCTGTTAGGAATTGTGGGAGTTGAAGTCCAAAACACCTGCAGGGCCCAAGTTGGCCCATGCCTGCTCTATGGTTAACTTCTACCAAAATTGCAATGTATATGACAAAAGTAAGTCATAATCTATATGACCCAAAGTAAGTCATGATCCATATGGCTTGGCAGTTTGGGTTTTGGACTAGACATCTGGATACTAGAATCCCAACCCATGCTTAGCCATGGAAACCTTCAGGAAGTCACATTCTTATCAGCCTAAGAGGATTTTTTAAAATCTCTTAAACAATCTTGTCAAGAAAACGCTAAGAGAGAATCACCATAATTTGGAGTAGACGCTAAAACACATAACAACAGGCTGGTCACTGTGTCTTTACAAACAAACACTGCAGAGTGGAAATGTGAGGTGGTAAAATAAAGAGAAGCAGACAAGTTAAATAGTAGGACTTCAAAAAATGTACAGTGCCAAATATTCAGGCATTCTTTGAGTTGTCTTTTGTTGGTCTTTGTCGCACTGCCGCCTGGTGAGGAACGGCACAAATCTTAAACGGGCTGGGTTGTACCACAGGGCCCATTATAGGTTGCACATCAGTTTCTTTTACTCCTTCTGGCCAGCGGAAGGTAAAAGCTTTCATCAGGCAGGTGAAGAAAATAAAGAGCTCAGACTGTGCTAACTGCTTCCCCAGGCAGGCCCGGCATCCTGCAGGATGGAGAAGGAAACAGTGAGAATCTCATACTGTACATAAGTCTCTGGAAGGCCATTTCATTTATTTATCTATATAAATAAAAATGTAATGTTTGTTTGTGGGATTAACAGAACTCAAAAACCACTGGACGAATTGACACCAAATTTGGACACAAGACACTAACAACCCAATGTATGTCCTTCACTCAAAAAAAATGATTTTGTCATTTGGGAGTTGTAGTTGCTGGGATTTATAGTTCACCTACAATCGAAAGAGCATTCTGAACCCCACCAACAATGGAATTGAACCAAACTTGGCACACAGTTCTCCCGTGACCAACAGAAAATACTGGAAGGGTTTGGTGGGCAGTGTCCTTTTGTTTTGGAGTTGTAGTTCACCTACATCCACCTGGAAACCAATGTCCTCACTGTGGGAGAAGATGCAGGTCAAGAATAGGGCTCCACAGTCACCTACGGACCCACCGCCAGTACACTGATCCTGGAAGACTATCCTACTTGGACAACGAGGGATCGCCTAAGTAATAATTTAGTACATTCACCTGTTCCATATGTGTAGAATTCTTCTCTTGCTGTATATTTTCCATGTTTGTCCAAGAAGTGGTTAGGATTGAACTGTTCAGGTGTCTCCCACTGCTTGGGATCAAGAAGGACAGAGCACAGATCTGCGACCACCAGGGTATCCTATAAAGAAGAAGGTGGGTTCAAATGTTTTCTTGAACAGATAGATACATACAGGGAAGAACATACTTACATGGCACCAATACCCACTATAATTAGAGGAGAAATGAGGGCTGAAGGGGTTGGCTGGTGACTGGTGACTCTTCCAGCAGTCACCAGCCAACCCCTCTGCTTAAGTGGCTGAGGAGGAAAAGGAAGGGGTCTGAGGCTGTTAGGAATGGTGGGAGTTGAAGTCCAAACACCTGGAGGGCCCAAGTTTACTGATGCCTACTCTAGTGACTATGTAACTGCTCTTACGCTCCACCAGCATGAAACAGAATCTTAGTCAATGTTTACAGAGTAACTCCTGATCCTGTTTGGTGCATCATGTTCCAGTACAATTGCCCACCTCTTCTTGGGAAACACAATATTAGTGCTATAATTTGCTCTGTACCTTTGGAATGAAATGTCCAAATATATTTAAATCTTGTATGCACAGTCTGGGCAGGCCAAATAATACGATGTTGCTGAAGCGTTGGATCTCATGAATCACGGCATTAGTATAGTGCAGTTTCTTCCGATCGTCATAGCTGATCAATTTGGAGGGATCCAGAGTACTTTGTAGCTCCTTCTGGACTTTCTCTGAGGAACAAGAAGAACATTCCGGTTCATAAATGAGAGATACATTTACTTTATAAGTGCTTTTTCCATAGGTATCTCAGATTCTGTCTGGCCAAAGTACATTAAACTGCTCAAAAAACCAGATAATATTTAAGAAGAATTAATATGAGAGACTGATGCTATCAATAACTCAACCAGCCAGCCATCTCAATGTACTTCACAACTAGAAGGTGCTGCAGTTGTCATTTCTCAGTGTCCTGATCTCAAGTGCCTCAGAAACCCTTCTATCTGGGTGGTAGAAGGTAGACCAGGCATGGGCAAACTTTGGCCCTCCGGTAGGCTGTTAGGAATTGTGGGAGTTGAAGTCCAAAACACCTGGAGGGCCAAAGCTTTCCCATGTCTGAAGTAGACATTCTGAGTTATAAGACTGTGTGGAAGGGCCCTAAGAAAGAAAGAAATAAAGTTTGAGCTACGAAGGTGAATCCAGGTAAGGAATATCCTTGAAGCCACCAACTGTGCCATCTCACACTTTAACAAGAGGGCTCTGAAATAAAGTTTGGTCAAAGTTTAAGCAGCTATCCATTCTCTTTTCCAGAATACTCCATTATTTATCTCCCTTCCCACTCATCCCCAACTTTCTTTTTTTTTAAACCTAGCTATTGCTGTCAATTGCTGTTGCTGGAGAGACCCAGAATTAAAAGTGACATCCCATCTATTCTTTTAACATCATAGTCAACAGACTAATGAATAGCATTGCACTGTATTTCAATGCTGATTAATTGCTATACCCTAATAAATAAAATATTTAAAAATAAAAAGAAATTACACTATGGCCACTGAACACACGCCACTCTCATTTAATTCTTTTGGTATGTGTGTGTTCCCCACAGTTTCCCTCTCTCCATTACTCTTTGTATATGGGTATGTGTGTATGTAATGAACTCATACCTTTTCTTCGTAGGCTGCAGCGTGGAAGTCAGTGAGCTGGCCTCCATGTTGGGAAGGCAGCTCAGGGTGACAGACATGATGGTATAGGCAGAGAGGCAAGGGGAGGAGTCAGCTAACTCCTGATTGGTTCAGACCCCAAGGGGAGGAGTTGAAGGAGAGTGTAAATAGGCTGTCATTTCTGACAGAAGGGGGAGAGAAGGATTTGATCTAGCAGAGAAAGGATTAGGATTTCAGACAGGGAGAAGAGAGTTTCTTAGGGAGCTAGGAATTAGCCTGTTAGGGAATAATTAAAGAGCAAGCGCTTCTGTATAGTTTGACTAGGGCAGTCAAAGTGAGGGCTTGTTTACTTGTATTAGGATAGAATACAAGTGGGTTTATTTCCCTAAAGGTTCAGAGTAGTCCAGGGAAAACCTAGATACTCTGGAAGGCAGCCAGGGGCGGCTGGTCAAAGAAACGCACTGTTACATGTTACAGGATAGTGTGAGGAAAGTAGCTCATGATAAGGAAAAGTTACTCCTTCTAAAGAAACCATTTGCTTAATAAGTCTGTGCTTCAGAAACAAATTACGCGTATGTACCTCTCAGTAGTCAGTTGTTTGCTTCAAATACGTCAATAAACCTGTTCTCTAGTTTACTGTTAATCTGCCTCAGCCTTGTTTCATCATTTAAGGTTAGATCCAGTAAGCCTCCACATCTCTACAGTTCAGTCACCAGAAAGGGAGCCAAAAGGAAGAGCCGGTGTATAGGGACATTTTACCTCAAGTACAACAACAAGACAATTCCTCAAACTGTGATTTGGGGTGGTGGCAGCAAACCTAACATTACACACACACCGGTCTCTCTCATCACCTGTAATTTCCTCGTTCATCCTATTACAGTGTACATCAACATACCATAGAATTAACCAGATCTACTGATACTTCTCTCCAGATCAGTGGTTCCCAACTTGTAGGCCGTGGACCACCAATGGTCTGCAAGAATGAAAATATGGTCTGCGGCCTCACCATTACTTCACAGTTGCCTCAAAACTACATGACAATGGGAGTGACTGGTCTCACGAAACCCTCTTAGAGTGCTGAGGCAACGGGGATGTCAGGACGGGAGAGGCTGACTACCCACGAAAGGTTACTACTACCACATCAGATTATTGAATATGGTTATCTGTGGGCAAACAGATGGCAGCTACTGGGTGACATATGTTCTGTATCAGAAACTAGAGCTGATATTCAATGCAGTTTTCTGAATCAGCACTCCAAATAGCCAAACCGAATCTGAAGTGGACCAAAAATGGATCTGTAACTCTTTTGGTACTAATGTTGAAGAGTGGTCCCTGATCAAAGTGGCCCCTGTTCAAGTGGTCTTTGGTCAAAAAAAGGTTGGGAACCACTGCTCTAGATCATAAATGCTGTCATTTTGGCAAGAGTATTGGCCATCAGAAACACAATTGGGTCTCCTTGATTACAATCCTAAGATTTTGTTTTTCAATAAATAGAGCCAGCATAAGCATCCATCACATGTTTGTATGCCACCTTGAATATCAGGATGGGTCACCATAAATAGCAAACCCCACGACAGGGTAACAGCAATTGTCTCTGTGCCTGCAGCAAACAGGTCAGCAATCACTTGAATTAAGTTGTCCTCATTAAATGTAGTTGAGGAGTCCACTTTCTCCTGTGGATTAGAAGCACAACATTACAACCAAAATACTATGAGTAAAGTAGACATAGGATCAAATGAGATCTAAAGCAGAATGCACATTCACAGAGATGGATACTTTTTTCCTCTCACCATGGGATCTCTCTCTCTCTCTCTCTCTGTATACACACACACACACACACACATACATACACACACATACTGTGATTTAGCAATCATATTTACAACTCAAGAAGGGTAAACATTTCCCCAAAATGGTTACAAAACAAATTTAATATATATATTTATTTATTTTATTTAAAACTTTTGTATCCCAATCTTCTCTACCTCCACAGAAGTACTCAGACCAGCTAACAGTAAGAATTCAATGCTAACAATACAATCTAAAACATCGTACAGCAACAATAAATTAAAATACATATAGACTAAAATACATAAAAGCCAGTTCGTCAAGATAAAATCATGTCCCACTCAGTCTGCATATATGGTCGATAACTTTAGTCAATTGCCAGTCTCCGCCATCATTCTGGGAATGCCTCGTTCCATAGCCAGGATTTCACTAGCTTCCTGAAGGTCAGGAGGGAGGGGGCAGATCTGATCTCAATTGGGAGAGAGTTCCATAGCCAGGGGGCCACCACAGAAAAGGCCCTGTCTCTCGTCCCCACCAGACGTGATTGTGAGGGTGATGGGACCGAGAGCAGGGCCCCTCCAAACAAATAATACAATTTGTTTCATAAAGATCAAGTAGACAGAACATATTGTAAAGAACAAAAATAACTTTCTGGCCTTGCTTCGCACATTTTAGTGCAAATATTAAGACATAAATAGTGTGTCTTAATAGCCTTGATGGTTCATAGGGGTGAATACGTTCGGATAGGTAAACTGGCCTGGAACCCTATAGGGTTTTGTAGGTTAAAACCAGCACTTTGAATTGTGCTCGGAAGCTAATTGGCAGCCAGTGGAGCTGGCACAACAGAGGAGGAGTTGTGCGCTCCCTATACCCAATGATTGGGGGCAATCATGTATTATGACAAGCATGTGTCTTTCACCAATGAAAGAAAAGCACCTCTTCTAAATATCTGCTAAACATGCCATCTCTTTGACTCTCAGTGGCCCTTTTTCACATGCAGTAAAAGCCAGAAGTAACTGGGATAAAAGGAGTGGAGGTGGCTAAATGACGTTTAGAGAAAGTGCGTGTGGAATCGGGTTAACAGCTGAAAAGCACATGTTTCAAAGATTCACTTAAAACTCAATTCCACCCAAAAAAAAATGTGCAAAATGACTTATAACCCTGCAGTCATGGAAAACGGGGGACTTCCTTCCTATCCCGCTGTGTGGACTGCTCCAGCGAACGTGATTTATAAGCTCAAAACATCTGAGGCAAAGACACAAGTATCCAAAGGATTCTGGCCGATGATGGTGGTGGTAGTAGTAGTGGTGGCATGATAACAACAACAACAAATAAGAGAGGACTTACCCTGTTGATCTGGGCCAGATAGAAGTCAATGAAGTTCTGTGGTTCACGGTCTGCTACAACTTTCTTCTTATGGTTTTCTACCTCCTTCTTGATAAAGGAACGTATAAATTCACAAGAGGAGAATACTGTCTTGTGAGGTCCAGGGATGTGTTGCATGAGCAAAGGGAAGAAGTTATATATCTGCAAGAAAAGTCAATAAAAACACTTATATGGCTATTGCTGAAAACGGAGGGCTGTAGTCCAGTGACCATTTCTACATCCCGGTTTGTGTGGTTCCTAGATATGGAGTCACATGCTCACTGGGCAACTTATGGTGCTGATACCAGTAACCTGGTGAATTCATTCCAGGTTTTAGTCTGACCTTCAAAGGATTTGCTGGACCCTACCTACTATAAGTTTAACAATTTGGATAATGTCTTAAAGTTTAAACTAAAACCAGGCATAGATTTAATGCTCTAGAACTACTGGAGCTAGCACCAGTATTTTAAGTTGGATTATACAGGGAATGTATGAGCTTCATCTATGCTGATGATCATGCCATTACTGCTCAAGCAGGGAGCTTTGAGATGGTTGAACAGAAGCTCTCCGAAGCTTTAGGTGCTCTTACTGCCTATTACAGGGAAAACCAGCTGATTCCTAATCCATCTAAAACACAGACATGTGCTTTTTATCTCAAGAACAGACAAGCATCCCGAGCTCTGAGGATACCTGGGAAGGAATCCCACTGGAGCATTGCAGTGCACCCAAATACCTGGGAGTCACTCTGGACCGTGCTCTGACCTACAAGAAGCACTGCCTGAACATCAAGCAAAAAGTGGGTGCTAGAAACAATATCATACGAAAGCTGACTGGCACAACCTGGGGATCACAAACAGACACAGTGAAGACATCTGCCCTTGCGCTATGCTACTCTGCTGCTGAGTATGCATGCCCAGTGTGGAACACATCTCACCACGCTAAAACAGTGGATGTGGCTCTTAATGAGACATGCCGCATTATCACGGGGTGTCTGCGCCCTACACCACTGGAAAAAATTACACTGTTTAGCCGGTATTGCACCACCTGACATCTGCCGGGAAGTAGCAACCAATAGTGAAAGGACCAAGGCAGTGACATCTCCGGCCCACCCCCTGTTTGGGTATCAGCCAGCACGTCAATGACTTAAATCAAGAAATAGTTTTCTAAGATCTACAGAGACACTTGCTGGAACACCCAGCAAGCGAGAGTCCAAAAGTGGCAGGCTCAAACCCAGAACCTCAATCAATTGCTGATACCAAATGAGAGACTCCCTCCTGGGCACACAGAAAACTGGGCGACTTGGAAGGCGCTGAACAGACTGCACTCTGGCACCACGAGATGGAGAAGAGCAAACCACTGACCACCTGCTGCAATGCAACCTGAGCCCTGCACATGCACAATGGAGGACCTTCTTGCGGCAACACCAGAGGCACTCCAAGTGGCCAGATACTGGTCAAAGGACATTTAATCAACTACCAAGATTGCAAATTCTGTGTTTTGTCTGTTTTGTTTGTTTTTGTTAAAAAAGTAATACAAATGTCTGGTTGCTGATGACACGATAAATAAATAAATAAATAAATAAATAAATAAATAAATAAATAAATACAGTGTATGTGTATCAAGTTTGGTCCAGATCCATCAGACCATGTAGGGAGCCTTTGTGAAACAAACCTACATACATATTTTCACTTTTATATGTATAGATTTCACTTGGTGGAGGTCACAGCTAATTGACAGAGTACACTCAGCTTTTTGTAAGGACAATATTCTCAACTCGGTCCTCATCGTTTGTAGGGGGAAAAGATCACCATAGTAGAAAATACTTATTTTGATCTGAGGACAAGTAGAGTTGCTACCAGAAAATGTAGACCACATTGGATGGGAGAAGGCAGCAATCTGATACAGTGTAATAGGTTTGTATATAATACAGTATCATCCCATTTTGGGGGGGGGGGGGGGAATCTCCTGTTCCATAATGAATAGATCACTACTCACCATCTCACCAAAACTGCCTCTAAATTTGGTGACAGTACTGATATGTTCGGTCAACTTGCATAAAGCTTCATCCTCAATGGGGGCATCATGGCCAAATGCTGCAGTACAAATCACTTTGGAGGCTGAACGCATGAGAGCCAATGAAGGATCTAACGGTTGTCCTGCAGACATAACAACAATTGGCGCATGTATTACCTTGGTCTTTAGAACAATGGAATAGAATAGAATAGAATAGAATAGAATAGCTTTATTTATTTATTTACAATATTTATATTCCGTCCTTCTCACCCGGCAGGGGACTCAGGGCGGATCACAATGTACATATACATGGCAAACATTCAATGCCATAGACACACAACATATATAGACAGACAGACAGAGGCTATTTAACATTCCAGCTTTTTTTCATAAGGGTATTCTGGCCACCAGGGGAGCTGTTGCTTCACCATCCATTTGTGACACAGATGGCATACTTCCTCATTTTTTGCATGGTTGCTGGAGATTTTTATGGCATCATAAATTTGCCTCCCTGCAAAAGCAATACCTAAATTTCCTACTTGATAGATGCAACTGTCATTCGGGCTGCAAAGGTCAACAGCAAGCTACACAAATTCATCGGAAGCTCACTCCGACCCAGGCTGGCTTTGAATTCATGACCTTTTGGTCAGTAGTGATCTTAATGTAGTTGACTCCCTGCCAGCTATGCCACAGTCCCATTGTCGTTGTGCAATAGCATGCCTTCCTCCGCACACAACACAAAATAACACATCCATCCCTCCATGTCCTCACCACCACCACACAGCCCCCAATGTCACATCAATGCAAAATCACCACTGTTTTGGTGTGTTAATCTTTTAGCACCAATTTACACATGACTGCATTTGCCCTATTTACTCAAATCTAATGCTCACCTTTTTTGGCTAAAATACATTGCCAAAATAAGGGTTCACATTAGATTCACGTAATAAAGTAATTGTAGCTGCTTCAGAAGCACCTGGTGCTCCTATTTGAGAGACCTCATCTCTATGCTATTTGTAGTTTGGTGAGGCATCAACATTAATTTGCAGAGAAAGCTCAATACCTTGTAAAACTACAGTCTCATGATTCATAGCATTGAGCCAGGGCTGTTAAAATGGATTCAGTCTACAGCATAGCTGCAACCCGAAGTTTTCCTTTCAGTTGCTGAATGCTTTGGTGTTCTAACAGATTTGTTTTTAAAGAAGGGATTTCTAAGCAGGCAGCAAATGTAATGACCAAATGACAAAGTGTGCACTTTTTGCCACTGCACATTACATTCAGCAGCAAATACATTTTTAGGCTTCGGGGTTTTGAAAATGGAGGTGTGTATTAGATTTTATGGTACATCGGACTCAGGTAAATATGGTAGATCTCCCACACAATGTTGTACCTCTGCCAGAGTTCACCTTCCCCTTAGCACCAAACAGGTCTCCAAAACAGGCCTCACTACCTCTGAGGATGCTTGCCATAGATGCAGGCAAAACGTCAGGAGAAAAAATTGCCTCCAGAACATGGCCATATAGCCCGGAAAAACCTACAACAACCCAGTGATTCCGGCCATGAAAGCCTTCGACAATACAGGCCTCCAAAAACTGTAAAAAACATTTTATTGAAGAAAGTACTTATAAAAAAGGGGAAATCACCAAAAGGGAGAAGAAAGGCAAAATCCAATAGGTAATCTGAAAAAGTAGCCCATAAGTAAACAGCACAACCAAGCTGGTAAGGAGTAAAACACTTCAAAGGCAATAATCCAAATAATCCAAAAGGTACATGGAAACAAGAGTCATAACAACGAGCATAAATCCAGGGAAACAAAAATTAAAACATGAACATGAATCCAGAAAAACCAAGAACTTAGACTAAACATGAACTGGAAACAGGACTTGAGATCCTCACTATCTAGCAGTGTTGCCTGATCTGAATTCTCATAGAGACACTTTCTAATTTAAGGAGCACAAAACACAAAGGCATTTCTTTGACCTTGACTTTCTGGGTTGTGAAACTTTCTCTGTGCTTCCTTCTCACTGAGCCTTTTGGGTTTCGTGAGCTTAATATTTTTCTCCCTAAAATCAAGCCTGATGCCCTGTTGAGCACACCTGCTCTCTCATGCAAGCTATCCCGGCCTTCCGGGCCTTTATAAGGAGTTGCTAAGCAAGAGTCTCTGTCCCACCCTGGTCATTCCACAGATATATAAACCCAATTTTCCTAGTTCCAACAGACCTCACAACCTCTGAGGATGCTTGCCATAGATGCAGGAGAGAATGCCTCTACAACATGGCCATACAGCCCGAAAAAACCTACAACAACCCAGTGATTCTGGCCATGAAAGCTTTCAACAATACAATATAAAAGAAGTTACTGTTTTCCAGATCTGCCGGTAGTTCCATTTCAGTAATTGAGGATACCAATGGGGACCCTGTTCATTTTGTGTATCTTTCATCCACTTTGTCATTTTTTAAATTGTAAGTTTCATTGATTTCCAATTTTTGGAGAAAGGGAGAAAATGGCCAGAATCCTATTTGGGATTTACAGTATATCTTTATAACCACTTGTGGGAATTAAAATCATTCTGCTTCACAAAGTCCATATTCAGGCACTATTACATCACTAATGAGGAAAACCATTAACATACCAGATGCACATTGGACCAGTGCATAACACGACTGATGCACAATGGGACCAATGTCCATATCAGTCCTTCTGTGCTGAGTTTGATATGGATATTGGCTAAGGTTTAGTGGTGTGGATTGGTAGAATCCAGTGTGCATTGAAACATCCCTAGCTACAGATTCCCTAATAGGATTTCTTAACAACTCTGCTACATACTAATTGTACATAATACCCATAATAACTACAATTATGATACTTTGCAACACTGTCATGGACATTTTGCAAGGGATCCCATTGTCGAAGAGATTCCATGAGTGTAGTTCTTAGCAGTGTATGAGAGAGTTGCATACACTCTCTCACAACGTGAAAGTCAACAAATATCCTTTCTGTGATTAGTTGTGCAATGATGCTATTTAGTAATTCTAGCATAACTATGCTCCCTATTTTTATACTGCACCAACCAGAGGAGCAAGGTCTCAGCCATTAGATCCTGCCATCATTCATAAAAGTGCTGTCACACGCTGGGCCTGTGAAAGAGTCTATAGACAGGACGTGTTTTCTGAATGCCCAAAGGGATGCCGGGGGTGCCTCGGCTGAGAGGCCTTTCGGATTTCCCCACACAAAGTTCTTTTAAAACCTTAGAAAGTTCAACAAGGTTTTTTATTCATGCTTAAATCTTCAATAAATCAAACAAATATTTCAAGGCTTTGAATCAACTGGTAGCTTGCTTGAATCTTGTCCACAAGGGACAGACAACTTTCTTCATAAACTGTTTCTTTCTTCTACAAGGGAAATCCTTCATCTCTCCCTGGGCAATCTAATTTAAGCTCTGCTGTCATGGGCCCCTACACCCAGTCCAAATTACTTTAAGGCTGCCGTGAGTGGTCCTTACCAAACAGAGTCCTTTAGTAGATTTCCAAGAGGAAAGAAGGCTTTCAATTCCCAGCGAAGGCTGGCTGTAAAACCGTGGAGCTGTATTTCTCCAGCAAAGGCTATGCTGCAGTTCTCTGTAGAGCTGTGGGACCGGATCCCCCAGCAAAGCTGTAAAAGACAAAGCTTTCTACGGGTGGAACTGATTCATGTCCTGTACGAAAGGCTTCTCTGTGTGAACTGAACTAGAGGTCCCCTTTTTCCCTCCTTAACCCAGAAAAAGGGGCGGAACTAAAGAACATAATGATAATTGATGGGTCATTGGCCCTATGATTGCAAACCAAGGGAAGCCACCTTATTGCAAAATGCATGGAACTTTGGAATACATGCAAACACTCAATAGAAAGGAAAAGAAGTTGGAGCTCCTGGTACAACCGTACCAGCACAATAAATGAATTGGTTTCTGAATCTTCAAACAGCATTCCGATCTCTGAGACAGAATATTCTTCCAAAGAAATGATGTCACTTTGAGACTTATAGTTGGATGGGATTACAACTGCCAGAATTGACCATAGTCTTTCACATCAATTCAACCCAAGCGACAGCTGCCAAGCAGTTCAGCTTGCACACTGTCCAAGCATTCAGCCATTATGTACCTACCATTTTCCCGTGCAAAGGTTTTCACAAGAAGATTAGCCTCCTCATTTATTTGATGCTGCAGGTCCTTCTGCATTTGGACTAATGTCTGTATGGTCGCTTGTCCAAAATGCTTCTGATCCTTCCAAGTTTTGCCATTGGCAAACATGACACCTGTGACAACCAAGAACCATAGAGATGTTTTAATAGATATCAGTTATTCACTGCCCAGTCTAGCTCTAAAAGGAGATTGATCTACACCAGGCATGGGGAAATTGGGCTCTCCAGGTGTTTTGGACTTTAACTCCCACAATTCCTAACAGCCTACCAGCTGTTAGGAATTGTGGAAGTTGAAGTCCAAAACACCTGGAGGGCCCAGGTTTGCCCATGCCTGATCTACACCCTCTCTCAAGCACATGCATGGCCTCTTGCTTGTTCTAATTGAATTAAGAAGTGCCATAAGCACAGAATTTGGAAATGATGCCTGCCCCCACTTTTCAGCAAATACCATCAACGAAGATGCTAAATCATGCTCATTCCATGCCAGAGATGGAAAGATTGGAAACTATTTGAAAAAATGATCCAGAATTCTATTTTTTTAAAAAAAATATCAAGAATCTCTAGTGAGAAAAATCTTGGATTGATGAGAATCGTCATAGCCTCTGCCAAATTTGCAAGTGATTGTTGTGCAAAGAAAAACTATCTCTGCTGCAAAGATAGAGATAGGTGAATTTTGTATGGAACATGTCCTGAATTGGGTTGCTGTGAGTTTTCCGGGATGTATGGCCATGTTCCAGCAGCATTCCCTCCTGACATTCTGCCCATATCTATGGCAGGCATCCTCAGAGGTTGTGAGGTCTGTTGGAAACTAGGCAGGTGGGGTTTATATATCTGTGGAAAGTCCGAGGTGGGAGAAAGAATTCTTATTTGTTTGAGGTAAGTGTGAATGTTGCAATTGGCCAGCTTGATTAGAATTGAATAGCCTTGTAGCTATATAAACCCTACTTGCCTAGTTTCCAACAGACCTCCCAACCTCTGAGCATGCCTGCCATAGATGTGGGTGAAACGCCAGGAGAGAATGCTTCTGAAACAGGTCCATACTGCTCAGGAAACTCACAGCAACCCAGTGATTCCAGCCATGAAAACCTTCAACAACACAAGTCCTGAATTGTGCATAGACTTTTTAGACTGGGTTTTAGACTGAATTGTAATTGAGCTTTCCAAAGTGCTGACAAAGATCTGTCCCATCAAGTGTGTGAAGCATCTGCCAGCTCCTCAAATGACTAAAAGGAGAGGAACTCACCTATTTTTGGAAAAACTTACCATTTTTGTTGCCCAGTAATTTAAAAAAGGGCATCATGGGTCGTCCAGACAGTCTTTCATAATTGTCCATTAGTCCTTCTTTCACATTTTTAAATCCTGTCAAAACAACCACGGGAAAGTGTCCTATCCATAAGGTGAAAACATCTCCATAGCTCTTTGCAAGCTGTAAGGGGGATGAAACCACACAAAAGAAATATTATTCATGGGCCAATCTACAAACTCTACATGCCTTCTGAAAATGGGCAAGTAGCCAAATAGCCATTTTCGGTCCACAGCCAAATAATGTAGCTAGATCTGGCCCATTGGCAGCAATGGGGGAGGTTCCCAGGCTCCCCTTCCTGTCATTCGTAGGGCTATTGGAGTGAAAATGACTACACTTGGAGGACACATCTACCACTGTTAGCCCACCAAGTTTCATAACGTTTGGGTCATCCCCTGGTTTTTTGGATTTTTTTTTCTTTCTAGAAATAAAATCTCCTTTAAGCAAGCAAGAAAACATTTATTTATTATTTATTTATTTACTGTATTTGTATACCGCCTTTCTCGGCCAATCGGCAACTCAAGGCGGTTTCCAACAAATCAGTACATATCAAAACATAATACATATTAAAACTTTAAACAATATAAAACACCACAAAAGCAATAAAAACAACATCATTAGTGTCTCATTATTATCCAGCATTGTCCAGTTCCATTGTCAAATCGTTCCTATATTAGCTACTTTGCATTTGTAAACGCTTGCTCGAACAGCCATGTTTTAACTTGCCTCCGAAATGTTAAAAGGGAGGGAGCAGATCTAATCTTCCTAGGGAGGGTGTTCCATAGCCGAGGGGCCACCACTGAGAAGGCCCTGTCTCTCGTCCCCGCCAAATGTACTTGAGACGAAGGCGGGACCGAGAGCAGGGCCTCCCCAGTCGATCCTAGAGTCCTCGATGGTTCGTAAGGGGAGAAACGTTCAGACAGGTAAGTTGGGCCAGAACCATTTTCTTTTAACATTATCCCCTTATTAGAAAAAACACTCCTATATGATCCACTGGGGGGGGGGATACAAAAATGTATTGCAGGAAATCAAGTCATGTTTTGGGGAAAAACCATGTTTTGGAGCATATTATTTTAAGTCTTATGTGTGAGTGCACCCCAACCACACGTCCTGCACTTTCCCAACTTCCAGTCAGTCCCACTAAATAAAAATAATCAAGAAAATAAAAGGAAATAAAGGAAAATCAAAGAGATTCAATGCTAAAGAGAGGCTAAGCCAAAAAATAAAGCTGAGAGTGAGTGGCAAGACAATCGGACTGAAGCACGTCTCTAGAGTCAGGACACAACTGAGAGCAATTGAGGCACTCGCCGACACAGCTTGTGTAAGACGCGTCACAGTTTTATTCTTCGCTGATTGGCCCAACATGCAAGGACTCACAGGGAAACCCCATGCGAGCAGCACACGGCATCCTCTCCACATGCCAAATAGGAGAGGAGGAGCCATGATCTGCTGCCACATGGCCCCATTGTGGACAAAAAAACATGATGGCTGAGCCCTTCCCTTTACGGCCAATTGACCAAGCCGAACAAACCAGATTGGCCGAAGGGAACCAACCAATCCGAATCCATGCACAAGCCTAGTCTCCAGCAATTGCTCATCCAAAACCAAAATGATTTGCTTGTACTACACATAGAATTGCTCATTGCACAAAGAAAGCAGGGAGGTTGAACAGCATTAGTTTATTGCTCAAGGAGCCCTCAAGCCATAAACCAAGCAAGCTGGCAACAAGACCTGTTTTTCTTGTCCTGAAACCACGTGTGTTCATCTTTGAAGGTTTTGAAGCATGTTGAAAACAACTTACGTAAGCAATGCATGCACACAGGATGCACATGTGGGGTCTGCTACTCCAGTCATTGTTTGCTTTTATAGAAGAGAAGTAGTCTGCAAATACCCCAAGTAAAAGCTCTTAACAGCTGATAGAAAATGAGAGTGACAGATGCCAACTCAACAGCACCCTCCATTGTTTTTGTAGTTCCCAAGTCCTCTTTTGTTCTCCCCTATGCCACATATGGGCAAACTTTGACCCTCCAGGTGTTTTGGACTTCAACTCCCACAATTCCTAAAAGCTTCAGGCCCTTTCCTTTCCCCCCCTTAGCTGCTTTGGAGGGCCAAAGTTTGCCCATGCCTGATTTATCCTGCCACCTAAATTGGGGGGAGGATACATCAAAATGAAGTCTCAATTAGAGTCTTCAGTCAAAAGCAAACTAAGGGAAAATAATTCTGTCATCTAATCAAATCAACTTCGGTTAATTATTCCACCAATCACCATAATGACATGCATAAATTATATATATATAATTATATATAACTTGGCATACAGTTTTACAAGGTGGGTTGAGGTGAGGTGAACCTAAATGATAGGACCACTGTGTACAGGTGATGGCAAAATGCTAACAAGGGACAGAGGAAAGGTAGAACTACGCAACACTTTATTTGTTTCAGTGCCCTTCCAAACAGACCCTATATCCCAGGATCTGATCCCAGGTTTTCTGCTTTAACTGGATTATATGAGTCCCCACTGCCAGATAATCTGGGATACAGAAAAAAACCTGGGATCAGATCCTGAGATTTAGGGCCTGACTGGAAGAGCCCACAGTCTTCTCCCAATTTGGGAAAGATGGAGCAGAGGACGTAGTGGGGAAATGCAGCACAGAATAGGTAAAGAGGCAATATAGTAATATTTGGCTGATCTAAATGAATTTAAGACCTCATATACACTGACCATTTAATGTCGATCGAAGCTAGTAGTGGACAAAAAATAGTTTATATTGGAAAGGATGTCTCTTTGGACCCTTCCACAAAGCCCTATATCCCAGAATATCAAGGCAGAAAATCCCACACTATCTACTTTGAACTGGGTTATCTGAGTCCACACTCAGGGTGGATCTAGACAGCCCCTTTATCGTGGAAACTTCCGCAATAAAAAGAGAGCTGTCCAGATAACGTTCTGGACAGTCCTGAATTAATTTGCCACAAACCAGGAAAACCCTGGGACACCATTCCCACAGTTTCTGGACTAAATTAGTCTGGAAAACTGTGGGAATGCCTACCCCCTTCCCCCAAAATCCCCAAACCCCTTTGAAAGTAAAGAAACTTACCCAGCTTCCAGTACAGTTTTGCAGCAGCTCTCCTGTCACGTAGAAATTATGCGCCAGGAGAGAGGGGGGAGGAGCGATTTTCCTCCCCCTCCCCTCCCTGCTCTCCTGGCACATCATTTCTATGCACCAGGAGAGCTGCTGTAAGACTGTACTGGTGGCCGGGTAAGTTTTCTTTAGTTTTAAAAGGGCTTTGCGGGGGGGTTTTTTTGGGGGGGGGGGGCTTCCAGATGTTTTTGCAGGCCAGTCTCACCCCAGAAAGCATACACTTTCTGGGATGGGTGTGGACAGGCCCACAAGAACATCTGCATTTTTAAAACGCAGGTGGTCTTGGGATAACTGCCTGTCTGGAAGCGCTCTCAGATAATGTGGGATTATCTGCCTTGATATTCTGGGATATAGGGCTGTGTGGAAGGGCCCTAAGATACAAAGCAATTGTTTCAAATTGCAGGAAAAGAGATTCCACCAAAACATTAGGAAGAACTTCCTGACAGTAAGAATTGTTCAGTAGTGGAATTCGCTTCTGCCTTGGAGTGTGGTGGAGTCTCCTCAGGAGTTGTTTAAGCAGAGGTTAGATGACCATCTGGCAGGAGTGCTCTGATTTGTGTGTTTATGTATGACAATGGGCCCTTCCACACAGCCCTATATCCCAGAATATCAAGGCAGAAAATCCCACATTATCTGTGTGGACTCAGATAACCCAGTTCAAAGCAGATATTGTGGGATTTTCTGCCTTGATATTCTGGGATATAGGGCTGTGTGGAAGGGCCCAGTGAGTTGGACTAGATGATCCTTTTGGTTTCTTCCAGCTCTATGATTCTATGATCTTATGTATGTATTCCTATCATTTCTTCATTTGTGTACTAGCTCATATATATGCCTGCACAGCTATACATATGTATATTGGATTATGGGTGTTGCCATGCTTTGAGCATGTTGATATTGCTTACATTTTTTGGGCCTCTTGGGAAAGCTCTCATTAGCGAAGAACATTTATCTAGATCTGGCATATAAACCATGCCGCTCTAAGCGATGAGTGCATTATCAGTAATCTCAAGGTCATTCTCATGGCAAAACAGACTGAGGGTGGGCTAAAGGATTGTGATTGCTATGCCTATGTCGGAGAGGCCCACCCAAGTGGTAATTGAAGCTTTATCTTCACAAAGTAGTGAAACCCCCATATTATTTGAACTGTGTGCTGGTACGGCTGTATCAGGAGCTCCATATTTATTTGCTTTGTATTTAATGTTTGCTTGCAGTCCTAAGTTTCAGGGTCCTGCAGATAGGTGGCTTCTTTTGGTTGCAGTCATAGGGCAAGTCACCTGTCCATCATCGTTAAGTTTTGGTCCCACCCTTTGCTCAGGGCAATTGGGAAGGGAAGGGAGCCATTTTTTAGTTAGTCTCAGCAAGGAAAGCTAATGTACAGGACGTGTGCAAGCTTCCCCTGTACAAAAGCTTCAACCCTTAAGACTTTCTGGGGGAAAACAGTCTTAAGAGCAAACCAGAGAACTCCAGGGAAGCCTTCCCACAGCTTTGAGGACTTTCCAGGGGAAAACAGTCTTAAGAGTCTCCAGGAAAACAGCCCTAAAGACCAAAGAACTCCAGCTGGAGATCTAAGCTGTCACTGGTAGGTCCACTCGGCGTTCGAGAAGCAGTTCGACCCGGTAGCGGAGCCCACATCAGTAAGGGTTAGATTACAGTCAGCCTGGGAGAAGTTAAAAAGGGGACTTTCCTTTAAAGAAGAAGTTATTGAAGACAGTTGCCTGTCCTTCGTGGGCAAGATTAGGAAGTCACCAGTTGCATAAAAGCTTGGAATCATTTGTTTAACTTTACTGAAGACAAGAGAAGTTTCTGTTTGATTGTTCATTAATAAAAGACTTTGTTATACTTCACAAGCCATCTAAAGGTCATTTGTGATGGAAAACCTCTGAGAACTTCTCCTTGGGCCCCCTGGCTTCCCGCTGAGCAAAGGTTGCACGTCCTGTTCTAAAGACAATTATTTACAGGCCCAGCGCGCGACAGAACAAACTGTATTACCTATAAATGTATGGTGCGGTTACTGCTTATCAGATCTGACATTATCTATGATATAGTTAGCAACTTTGTTGTTTGAAATGAAGTTCATATATTTTAAGTACTGACTAAGCCTGTATATGATAACCACCAATGGGCCCAGGTGCTATAGGTTGTATTTCAAAGGAATGAACTATCAAAGGAATGAACTATCAAAAGCACCTCTTGTCTAAGAAACCCTATGAAATTCATGAAGTCAGCATAAGTTGACAAATAACTTAGGGCACTTCCAGACAGCGGTAAAATCCGTGCTGACCCAAATTTTAAAAACCTAGGTCAGGGTGGACTGTAGCCTGCACACCAAGCTGGAAAATGCATGCTTTTGGGGCTGGGTGTCTATATGCCCTCCCAGAACCTTCTGGGAGGACAGCAAGACACTCAGACCCCACCTCCCAACCCCCCCCCCCAAATCCTTTAAAAACTTACCTGGCCACCATTAAAGTGCTGCCAGACCTCTCCTGGTGCTTAGGAATGATGTGCCAGGAGAAGGGTGGGCCAGGAGTGACTGTCCTCCTCCTCCCCTACTCCTGGCACGTCATTCCTAAGCACCCGGAGAGAGCCAGCAGCARGGAAATGCCAGCCCCATAAGATATTTTATTATTAAAGGCTTTGAGGGCAGGGTTGTTTGTTTTTTGTCGTGTCAGGAGCGACCTGAGAAAATGCAAGTCGCTTCAGGTGTGAGAGAATTGGCCGTCTGCAAAGAYGTTGCCCAGGGGACGCCCAGATGATTTGATGTTTTATCATCCTTGTGGGAGGCTTCTCTCATGTCCCCGCAGGAGCCCCCGGTGGCGCAGTGGGTTAAACCCCTGTGCCGGCAGGACTGAAGACCGACAGGTTGCAGGTTCAAATCCGGGGAGAGGCGGATGAGCTCCCTCTATCAGCTCCAGCTCCTCATGCGGGGACATGAGAGAAGCCTCCCACAAGAATGAGGAAACATCAAATCATTCGGGTGTCCCCTGGGCAAAGTCCTTGCAGACGGCCCATTCTCTCACACCAGAAGCGACTTGCAGTTTCTCAAGTCGCTTCTGACACAACAAAAAACTGAGGAGCTGGAGCTGATAGAGGGAGCTCATCTGCCTCTCCCCGGATTCAAACCTGCGACCTGTCAGTCTTCAGTCCTGCCGGCACAAAGGTTTAACCCACTGCGCCACCGGGGGCTCTTTTGGGGGCAGGTTGGGGAGGGAGTTGATGCCCTCAACACTTTTCCAGCCTGAATCAACCTGGAAAACACAACGACCRTGTGGACTGCCCCCTCTGAAGTCCACACAGCGGCCATAGTGGGTTCAACCCGCACATTTCAAGAAGGCGCGGAACAAACCCACTATCAAATTACCTCAGCACAAAGCAGGGTTTTCCTGCTTTGTTCCAAAATCATTCATGATTCATGGGGCATTGTTTGGATACCCACTGCTAATATCCGGAAGGGTGCGTGTTTTGTGCCCTGTCTGGATGGGCACAAACACACATATATTAGTTAGCTTCCAGGACAGCTAAAACTAAACAACCATTACTTGTGAATAACGCTACTAAGCAATATAGGGTACTACAAACAGTATAGCAACAAAACTGATCACAACCAAGCTGAGGAACTTTAAAACAGACGCAGAGCCAATTGCTCACCTAATTTTCCGCCCTGAAAAATCTTGTCTCAGCAATATAAAGCTGTGCATGAAAAGGCAAGGCATGTGATGTAAACATGTTGGCTGTGGGACTGCAGGTGGCCTCTGATGTTCAGGTTATGGTGAGGGTTAGAATTAGAGATTTTATGAGTTACAAATAAAGTTGTTGTGGTTATTGTTGCTGTTGTTTATCATGGACCACTCTTTTCCTGACACAAAATTATGAGCATGGTAGCATTGTAACCTTTTAAGCGGTTACAGGTTTACGGGAATAGAAACTGCACACACTGCTTTATAAAGAGAGGCAACCAAGTAACACATATTTTGTCGAAGGCTTTCATGGCTGGGATCACTGGGTTGTTGTAGGTTTTTCCGGGCTATATTGCCATGTTCTGGAGGCAATTTTTCTCCTGACGTTTCGCCTGCATCTATGGCAAGCATCCTCAGAGGTAGTGATGTCAGAGGTAGTGAGACCTCACTACCTCTTAGGATGCTTGCCATAGATGCAGGCGAGACGTCAGGAGAAAAATTGCCTCCAGAACATGGCCATATAGCCCGGAAAAACCTACAACAACCCAGCACATATTTTGCTAAGTTACACATTACTAGAGTTGCCTTTTGAAGAGAGGGTCCCCTCTCCTTTAATAGCTGCGTGAAAGAGGGAAATTCAGCCCATGACGAGCAATCTCCCATTAGGATTCCCTGTTCTATATGACTGTTGAAGAGGTCACCTTTTTCCTTATATTCCTTGCCAACCCTACGCATTATCAGAAAAATAACAAGAAATGTAAACAAAAGAACATCGATTCTGCCTTTCCTAATACCACTGTTGGACACAACTCCCACATATACCTAGAATCATAGAATCAAAGAGTTGAAAGAGACCTCGTGGGCCATCCAGTCCAACCCCCTGCCAAGAAGCAGGAAAATTGCATTCAAATCACCCCTGACAGATGGCCATCCAGCCTCTGTTTAAAAGCTTCCAAAGAAGGAGCCTCCACCACACTCCGGGGCAGAGAGTTCCACTGCTGAACGGCTCTCACAGTCAGGAAGTTCTTCCTCATGTTCAGATGGAATCTCCTTTCTTGTAGTTTGAAACCATTGTTCCTTGTCCTAGTCTCCAAGGAAGCAGAAAACAAGCTTGCTCCCTCCTCTGGCTTCCTCTCACATATTTATACATGGCTATCATATCTCCTCTCCTTCTCTTCTTCAGGCTAAACATGCCCAGCTCCTTAAGCCGCTCCTCATAGGGCTTGTTCTCTAGACCCTTGATCATTTTAGTCGCCATCCTCTGGACACATTCCAGCTTCCTCCCCTCTGGGAGATAGGGTGGGTTACAAATAAAGTTGTTGTTGTTGTTGCTCTTGTTTATCATGGACCACTCTTTTCCTGACACAAAATTATGAGTATGGTAGCATTGTAACCTTTTAAGCGGTTACAGGTTTACAGGAATAGAAACTGCACACACTGCTTTATAAAGAGAGGCAACCAAGTAACACATATTTTGCTAAGTTACAAACTCCTAGAGTTGCCTTTTGAAGAGAGGGTCCCCTCTCCTTTAATAGCTGCGTGAAAGGGGGAAATTCAGCCCATGACAAGCAATCTCCCATTAGGATTCCCTGTTCTACATGACTGTTGAAGAGATCACCTTCTTCCTTATATTCCTTGCCAACCCTACGCATTATCAGAAAAATAACAAGAAATGGAAACGAAAGAGCATCCGTTCTGCCTTTCCTAATACCATTGTTGGACACAACTCCCACATATACCTAGAATTATAGAATCAAAGAGTTGGAAGAGACCTCATGGGCCATCCAGTCCAACCCCCTGCCAAGAAGCAGGAATATTGCATTCAAATCACCCCTGACAGATGACCATCCAGCCTCTGTTTAAAAGCTTCCAAAGAAGGAGCCTCCACCACACTCCGGGGCAGAGAGTTCCACTGCTGAACGGCTCTCACAGTCAGGAAGTTCTTCCTCATGTTCAGATGGAATCTCCTTTCTTGTAGTTTGAAGCCATTGTTCTTTGTCCTAATCCCAATGGAAGCAGAAAACAAGCTTGCTCCCTCCTCCCTGTGGCTTCCTCTCACATATTTATACATGGCTATCATATCTCCTCTCATCCTTCTCTTCTTCAGGCTAAACATGCCCAGCTCCTTAAGCCGCTCCTCATAGGGCTTGTTCTCTAGACCCTTGATCATTTTAGTCGCCCTCCTCTGGACACATTCCAGCTTGTCAATATCTTTCTTGAATTGTGGTGTCTAGAATTGGACACAATATTCCAGGTGTGGTCTAACCAAAGCAGAATAGAGGGGTAGCATGACTTCCCTAGATCTAGACACTATGCTCCTATTGATGCAGGCCAAAATCCCATTTGCTTTTATCTACCATTCCATGCGAGAGTCGCCTCAAACAGAGTCATCACAGACAAAGAACATGTTTCCTGTGTGAAATACATTTCACTGTTCTCGTCATTCTATGTTAGTTCTTCACCCACCCCGACTCTGGCTGAATTCCCCCAGCTAGACTTCACAAACAGTTGTTGAATGTTGGGTCAAGATGCTAACTCAATGGCTCTGCTTTAGTCGGAAAAACAACAACAGAGTTTAGGCCAATAATAACAATTGTATGATTGATATTTTAGAGAAATACCTTCATAAGCGTATCCTGACGTATCTTCCAGCCAACTCTCCATAGGCTTCCAATGAAGGGGATGGGAATAGGTCCAGGAGGAAACCGTCGCCGTGCCCAGAGAAGCGTTACAAACCGTACAACCAGAAGACAGATGAACGTAGCAACAAGCAAGCCACTAGTCCACATCTTTGCTAAACCGTCCTTTCCCTGCCCGTCTACTAAGTGTGTTCCTCAGAGATATCTTAGGTCAATAGTTCCCTTCAGAGATGTCTTCTTGGTCCTTCTCAAAGCTTTATCACGCCCAGCTTATGCTTGTCTTATATCCTACTGCATCATATGGAAGAGAGGATAGCTAAAGATACACTGTAATTAGGCAGGCAGAACAATCCAGTGTTTGACATGCTCTCAGGCTCATTTATAACCTAGGAATGCAGACTTCATCATAAAAGCTGCTCCATCACGTGCAAAGTCAAATTATTAGATGCCTAGATACAGCAAGGAAGAGTTTAATTGCCTCTGGAGCAGGTGAGCCATTGGAAGAAATGAGGGTGGTTGTTGTTCTTTTCAAGGCACTCTTTCTAGGTTTTTGAACAACCTTGAAAGGAAGGATAAGTCTATAGCAGGGTTTCTCAACCTTCCTAATGCCGTGACCCCTTGATACAGTTCCTCATGTTGTGGTGACCCCCAACCATAACATTATTTTTGTTGCTACTTCATAACTGTCATTTTGCTACTGTGATGAATCATAATGTGAATATTCAATATGCAGGATGTATTTTCATTCACTGAACCAAATATGGCACAAACACCTGAAATACTCAAATTTGAATTTTGGTGAGGTTGGGGGTGGGGGTTGATTTTGTCATTTGGGAGTTGTAGTTGCTGGGATTTATAGTTCACCTACAATCAAAGAGCATTCTGAACCCCACCAACAATGGAATTGAACCAAACTTGGCATACAGAACTCCCATGACCAACAGAAAATATTGGAAGCGTTTGGTGGGCAGTGACCTTGCGTTTTGGAGTTGTAGATCACCTACATCCAGAGAGCACCGTGAACTCAAACAATGATGGATCTGGACCAAACTTGACATGAATACTCAATATGCCCAAATGTAAACACTGGTGGAGTTTTGGGGAAAAGACCTTGACATTTGGGAGTTGTAGTTGCTGGGATTTATAGTTCACCTACAATCAAAGAGCATTCTGAACCCCACCAATAGAATTTGGCCAAACTACCCACACAGAACCTCCATGACCATCGGAAAATACTGTTTTCTGATGGTCTTTGGCGACCCCTGTGACATCCCCTGGCGACCCGCCAGGGGTCCCGACCCCCAGGTTGAGAAACACTGGTCTATAGCCATGTTGTTATTTGTTTATTTTGTTGTTTAAGGCCAGATTTCTGTATCCACTGCTTACTTAAGTATACTTAATCCAACTAAGGAACCATCCAGACAGTACCTTTATCTCGGGAGCTTACACAAAAAATAGGAGGGTAGCCAGACACCGTTCCCTGAAAACACAGAAGCAATTGCTACAAAAGGCAAAAAAACAAACTAACATGAGATTTCCAGATGTGGGAATATCACAGTTTTGAACCGAATATCCTCATCTTCGAATGTCTGGATGTCACTGCAATCGAAAATCACTGTATTTTTTATCTAGGTTTGTTCCCAGGTTTTAGATGTTTGTTCCTGATTCACTGAATCATAGAATCAAAGAGTTGGAAGAGACCTCATGGGGCATCCAGTCCAACCCCCTGCCAAGAAGCAGGAATATTGCATTCAAATCACCCCTGACAGATGGCCATCCAGCCTCTGTTTAAAAGCTTCCAAAGAAGGAGCCTCCACCACACTCCGGGGCAGAGAGTTCCACCGTTGAACGGCTCTCACAGTCAGGAAGTTCTTCCTCATGTTCAGATGGAATCTCCTTTCTTGTAGTTTGAAGCCATTGTTCCATGCGTCCTAGTCTCCAAGGAAGCAGAAAACAAGCTTGCTCCCTCCTCCCTGTGGCTTCCTCTCACATATTCATACATGGCTATCATATCTCCTCTCAGCCTTCTCTTCTTCAGGCTAAACATGCCCAGCTCCTTAAGCCGCTCCTCATAGGGCTTGTTCTCCAGACCCTTGATCATTGGTTCCTAAAAAGAAGGTAACAGTTGAGTAGAAGGCGAAAACTTTGTGAGCCAGACACTTCATGAACCATGTGGAGGGCACATTTTCTCTGGCCAGGACAAGTTTTCGCCCCCTAGTCAATGTTGTAAATCTTTTCACAAACAGAGCCATCAGGAATAGCCATGTATAACCCAGGAACAGCATCCTGTTGTGTTTGATGCCACGAGAACACAACCAAATCTGTCTGGACAGATGGCCAGACAGCCAGGCTCTTAAAAAGTGTCAATAATTGCAAAGTTTTGTTCCTGGCTTGAAAGTGTATGTTCCTGTTTGATTGTGCAGTGCTGACTTGAGCAGAAGTGGTCCTACCTTGTAAACTTTGTGCATGTGGCAGATACTTTATGAAACGTCTGGAGGGCTTCACTGCAGTGATTCTCCACATATCTGCATCTTGAGAGTTGAAAAAACCACCAAAGTTTCCAGAGGAAGTCCCACAGGAGCCATCTTGGGAGCCTTTAAATCTTACGACAAAGCATCAAGTCTTTGTATTGTCGAAGGCTTTCATGGTGAGGACCTCACCTCTGAGGATGCTTGCCATAGATGCAGGCGAAACGTCAGGAGAAATGCCTCTAGAACATGGCCATATAGCCCGAAAAAACCCACAAGAACTGAGCATCAAGTCTTTGTTGCGAACAATGGCTTCAAACTACAAGAAAGGAGATTCCATCTGAACATTAGGAAGAACTTCCTGACTGTTAGAGCCGTTCAGCAGTGGAACTCTCTCTCTGCCCCGGAGTGTATTGGAGGCTCTTTTTTTGGAAGCTTTTAAACAGAGGCTGGATGGCCATCTGTTGGGGTGCTTTGAATGCAATTTTCCTGCTTCTTGGTAGGGGGTTGGACTGGATGGCCCACATGGTCTCTTCCAACTCTATGATTCTATGATTCTATTATTCTAAGTCTGGCCAGAAATCCCAGGACCAACAGGTCTCTATGTGGACTTGGTCTGAAGTCCTGGGATTTTTGCCCCTGTTTAAAACCTGTGATGTAGTGTTGTCTTGAACCGCCCTAAGTAACCTCTCCTGGGGAGATCTACACTAGTCCAATATACTGGGCGGCCACGGCAGTAACATCAGTTGGGAAGATGGGTCAACTAGGGAGGGGGAGAGGAACCAACCCCTCCATTCTCCCCACCCATGTTGCTGCCTATGTAACATGGGAAGCCTCCCATGTTGTTGTAGTGATGGCTTACCATGCTCCCACTTCACTTGGGTCATCGAGCGCTGCCGGAAGCAGATCAACATCATGGGATGGGAGCCGGTGGGCTCCATGCCACAAGTGAATTAGGAGCCCGCCCTAATTTTTTTTCATGACAGAAGTGACTTGAGAAACTACAAGTCACTTCTAGAGAATTGGCTGTCTGCAAGGACATTGCCCAGGAGATACTCGGATGTTTTACCATCCTATGGGAAGCCTCTTTCATGTCTCAGCGTGAGAAGCTGGAGCTGACAGACGGGAGCTCACTTCGCTCCCTGGATTCGAACCACTGATCTTTCAGGCAGCAATCCTGCCGGCACAAGGGTTTAACCCACTGTGCCACCGGAGGCAGGCCATTTGATGAGAGTGTAAATAACGATTGCGAATATCGAGCAATTATCTAGATTGACCCATCCATAACTTCAAATTTCTAAATAAGAAATTCCTTCATATGAAACTCATTGGTTAAAGAAATTAACCAATACAACTGGTTTGAATGATTGAGCAAAGGGCACCTTTTGATCTGGTCCTAATTACCTTCAGACTTTTGTCTGTTAAGGATGCTTGAGTCTTTTCATCTGTGTGAACTCCCAGATCCAAGTAAGTTAACCTGACCTGGATCTGGGAGTTCACAGATGAAATGCCTTAACAGACAAAAGTCTGAAGGTAATGAGGACCAGATCAAAAGGTGCCCTTCGTAAGTTAACCTGACCAACACCACACAGATAAACTTGCAGAATGACTTTTAGTTATTAACTGGCTTTCACGGTGCCGTCGCGCCTGGGGGCTATAACTCTTAGTGAAAGAGGCATGGACGTGACATCTTTCCCCAGGGGATTGCTTCTTGCCCTCCTTTAGGAAACTGGAACTCCCAAGGACCAAAACACTGTAGATAACTCAAAATAGGTTTTATTGTTCACAAAGAGTTATCCCTTTAAGGCAATAAGCTGGAAGTTTCAAAGGGGTAAAGGAAAATATGCATTACAGTCTCTGGTTGTCTTGGATCCAAGGAGTTTTGCAGCTGAGAAGCTTTTCCAGGTCCCTCTTTCTCAATGGCTGTGAATGCCGGAGCAATCCACAACCCCAGTCCAAATGGCCTATGTTTGAAGACACAGGGTCTTCCTCTGGTGCCAAAAGAACTGGTTTGAAGGCGCTTGAGACTTCCCAATGTCGTTCAGGTTGGTCTGAACATGAAGCATAAGTCTCAAGGCTAAGAACCTCAGAATTGGTGCTGAGAGGTAACTTAATCAGGGGCTTTTAGAGCCAAGTCTCTTACTCACGTCCATCTAATAGAAAGTTTGATGGTGGAATGGAAAAGGAAACACTGTCCTGCTCTCTAGGAAGAGGTGGGGTCAAACAATTGAGCAGGAGGAGCAATTCAACTGGTGCAAAAAACATTGATTGACAGCTATAAATAACCAATCAATCCAACTATACATTTACAGGGTAAAAAGACAAAATCAGGCATGATAAACAGTTCAAATCTTGCAACTTACAATTCTACATATAGGTGGCGCCACTCACGCCATCACATTCACATTTCCCTAATGTTCCAATATAATCCACAATATAAACAAGTATAGCAACATTTTAATGTAAATCTGAATGCATTTCATGCATATTTTAGAATTAATACGCATTTAAAATATTATTTCCATAGACATTTTTCTATGTATTTATTCTTTCAAAATAAAATAACAAGACATGGATATTGAATGAAAATAGATTTGTCTGTTGGACTGAAACTCCATCCTCTCTCTTTATGTTATTTGGCCCAAACTATGAAACATCATGTGATTTGCTTCTTATATATTCAAGGGGAAAACTGTTACCGTAATTACTTTCTCATGCAGGGATGCCAAAAACACAATTCTCTAATTCCTGACACAAATGCAGATTAGAATTTGCTTTGCCTCCTACGGTTTATTAAAGCTGAACAAAGTCAGGAAAGAGAAGACAATTCTGAGATTGGCATACGCAAGGCATAGATATCAAGG